ATACCTCTCCTGGCCTACTGAAGAAGATAGGCAGACCATGCTCTGGAAAATTAAATGCAGTAGTCCAGCAAAGGAGGCTGGGGCCCACTGGTCTATGTGAAAAGCAAGATAACATCTCCCCCCCACCCCCCATACACACCAAAGCTTATCTCTTAACTGTTTTAATTGGCATGGATGGTTATGCTTTACAGATGTAGAAATTGAGGATCAGGGTACATGGCCACATCTGGAACCCACATTTGGCCAATTACAAACCCCATGTTTTTCAGTAAAAAGCAAGTTGAGGCTGACTGTGACTTTTGTCAAGCCTGCATCACTCAGATCTCATTAATTAGAAGGCTAGGTGCTGTGCAAAGCATGGTGGCTTCCATTCACCTGATCAAAAGAAGTTTCAACCTATCAGTCTCCAGTAGACTATAATGCAATCTCTCTGGTGGATCTTTCTTTGATCTTTTGGTTATCAATTACCATCTCAAAGAAAAGGGTTGGGAACTGAGATAAAGTAAACCTGGTGAGGTCATTTTTCTCTCTGAATTCTAGTGTCCCCATCTATAAAATGGGTCATATATAACCTATGTAATAGAGTAGGTGTGAGCCTAAATAGGAAACCTTATTAAAATTCTAGCACAGGGTAATACTTTTTATAAACAACGATTAATGTAACTACTGCTTTATTTCAGATTAATAGTTTTTAAAAGCTCAGAGGCTTGCAACAACTTGTTCTCATTCAATAAGTACTATTTATAGTTGAAAAAATAAAATCATGAGTTTTTTTCATAGCTAAAGACAAACAAGACAAAGAACTGTAATGCAAGCACAGAGGACTGAGTTCAAGAAATAGAGACACATTTTCTGTGGGGCTAGCCCTCGCCGGTATGCTATAATCTCTTTAGAACTGAAGTATAGCTTTGCAGAAACTGTAATATATACATAGATGACCAGGAATGTTGACCATTTAGAGGGCCAAGGACCTGTAGGATGAATTGATGCAAAAGGCTTTGCTCTAGTTTATAGTCCCTGAAGGTAAATTTGTTAGGAACTCTGTTAACATGGGCAGCTCAACAGAAGCAGGGTTCAGGCTGGTCTTCAGGCTTGCCCAACAGTTTATTTGAGCAGAAGGCAGTGAGATGAGGGAGAGTCAGGCTGTTAACAAAGTATCCCTGCTTTTACCTATAACGGCTGAGATATGAGCCTAATAGGAGCCACACACAAGTTCCCTTTGTAGGAGTTTTAGTCTTCCTGCAATTCTGACAGACTTGGTCTGGTGGTAAACTGTCCTTGCCTCCTGTGTTCTGTTCACAGAAGCAAGTGCTGCATGAGGTAGCTTCCCTATGAACCTGCATCTCCATGTCCCTTTCACAAAGGTTTTGGAGGCTGAAGAAAAACTAACCCTGCTACGGCAAACATAAAATGTGCTTCAGATCACTGTCCCCAAGGAACGGTGGACAGTGTGGCAGACTGCCCAGACCCACAGGTCTCAAATGTTCTTGCCCTCTTGCCGTTTTCCCTACAGATATAACAGGCAGTTTCACTATGTGAACCTACATGTGGGATCAGAGATACAATTTCACTTATTTATTTGCATTTTAGCTAATCCCTTAAAATTTTGTGTAAAATCTAAACTTTTTAGCACAGGACAAGTATTAGTAACTTTCTAGCATGAAGGGGCAGAAAATAACTTCTTCAAGGTTACTACTTGGGTTTCATCTAAGCATGCATTTCTGGGAAGGCACAGTCAAACTAGTTCTTCCTGTTATTGACAAGAGTGTGTAAAAATTAAACCTTGGGAGACTCACACAGGGAAAGCACTATCCATGCAACAGAAAAGGAGGCATCGGAAGTTTCACAATTTTTTTTTTAATAGATTTTCAGCTATAAAATTCTGGTGAGATTTATTATCACATACAGAGAGCATTTTTACTTTCCCTAAGCCAATTTCTAGAACAGGTCTTGACCTTTTTCTTCTCCTCCATCTTCTCCCCTCCCCTTTATGGAGCATGTGTTGTTGGAGGCAAATGAACGTTTTCTGAACCCTTAACAATATGTCTTTTAGTATATACAGATAAACATACATACAAACACACATAAATGAACACATTCTAAGTTTAGTTTATAATTACTCTTCTGTCTTGGATTTACCTTGTAAATAGTAAGTCAGTGATCTTAAATTAAGTAGCCAAGTTTTATTAGGGGGGCATTCCTAGATAGTTACAAGATTTAGCTAGTATAATATAAACATGTAGCATTTTTGAGGATACTACTATATTCTGTGAACTACAAGACCTCTTACCCTTTAATTTCTGCAACTTATGAATGACAACTCATAATACTAAGTGCCTATAGCATCACAGCTATAGATACACTGTGCAAACAAGGGAGATAATTTCTTGGATAACAGAGAATTATACCCCCCCCCCACAAAGAACCCAGAGCTTTATGGTCCATACTCATTCTTTACAATATGCGCTTACTCTTACATAAAGACCAATTCACACAACTACTCCAAATCCCAGCATACTCTGCTTCCAAGTGGAATTTTGTCTCACTATTCACCCTCAACACTGAAGGTTATGCCAATATATGGCTAACGGACAGGGAGATGGAGGTCCTGAATGAAACAGCAACCTTTGCTGACTCTGCACATAAGGTTAAGATCTTGGAGGACTCCCTTTTCCCTTCCTTACAAAATCTGAGTGGTTTGTGCCTAGCAAGCAGTGCAAACATGCATTCAGAAAGTAATCTGCTTGCATAGGTTTGCCAATATGCACAGCAAATAATCTTCAATGTGCCCTTCCAGGAAAGATCTAGACTCTCATTTCAGGCACACAATTCATTCTGACCAAACCATTCTATCTACTGCATGAGTGCAAGAACATATGCACACACACAGGGCGCCTCTCATTTCCTCTGGAGTAATGGGAGCCTGGGCAATACTTTAAGCATTCATTTTCTAACATAAATTAGAATGGAGCATCAAAAACACCAGTGACATCTGCATGGAAACAAAATGTAGTCATTAGAGTTGGTGCTATTACAATGAAAGGAAATGTATTCATAATGGTAGAGCATTTAAAATAATGTGATGCTGGATTCTGTGTTCATAAAAACAATAACGAAGAAGCAGGATAGGTCATATAAATTAAAAGGAGTAACGGGCACAGAGTGGCTTCAAGGGCTCTGGGCATTGTCAGTGACATGGCACACGCCTAGATACACAGAGGTGAAGTTTGATAGTGAAAAGGCAGAAGAAGCTGGAAGGGCACTAGGCTAACACTGACAGAGTCTGAATTCTGTCTCTGCTCTACCCTTCGATACTGGGCAAATTACATCAAAACTTGTCTATATCTCTGTTACTCAGATACATCTATAAATAAGGAGAGCTGAATCCTCTCTCACCTGCCCCAGGAAGGGAGGAAAGAACAAAACACCTGTAAAGTGCTTAGTATCCAATGCATAGTAGGCATGCATATAATCAACAGTTTCTTTTCTTTTTTTATCATTAAATAACTGTATGACACTGTAATATCAGTAAAATAAAGTAGAACTAACAAGCCCTGGCTTTCCAATGCACAAGTTTATTATAAACAGCAAATGAAATGTTTGTCAGATACTACATACTAGCTGACTTGGTAGTTGTTCCCAGCTCATTCCACTAAAGATTACTTGCATATATGTCCTACACTGCAGCTAGCACTGGCTGTATAAGCTTGCTGCAATGTGTATTACAAAAAAAGAAAAAGAAATCTGGTTTGGTGCTAAGGTTACAAAGTATGATCTTGGCAAAGTGTTTACTTCCCTGATAATAGAGACATGATCCTTTCATCATGCTTGGGCAAAGATAACAATACGTCAAGCTGCAGCCCCCTTTTCAGTCATAAGGGAATCCTAGGGGTGGCTGATGACTCCGTGACTAAAAGTGCATGATACCAACCCTGGCCACCCGAGTTTGATCTCCAGGACCCACATGGTGGAAAGAAAGAATCAACTCTTGCAAACTGTCTCTTCTAAGACCCAAAGCAGTCTTGACATCAGAAGCCACTGAGCCAAAGTCAGAATTCATTTTCCTTTGTATGTATTCTGTGATACAAAGAAAGCTTTGTTTCCAGAAAGTACTGGCACCAGAGTTTTCTGTTGCTCAAGCCGAACACAATTCTAACTGATATAATGTGGAAGTACTCAGGAGAATCAAAAGGCATACACTTGAGGATATCTTTTCTTTGCCAAGATTTTCCTTCCCCTTGGTTCCAGATCACTAACATCTACTTTTTTTTTTTGTATGTATGTACACATGTGCAGAGGTCAGAGGCAAGTCTTAGGTTTTATTCCTCAGGTATCATCCACCTTCCTTTATTTACCCGTTTTTGAGACAGGGTCTCTCTGGAGGTCACCATGTATAGGATAGGCTGGACGGTCCATGAGCCCCAGGGAATCTTCATGTCTCTACTTTCCCATAGCTGGGGTTAAAAATGTACCACTGTACCTGGCATTTCTACATGGGCTCTAGGGATTAAATCTGGGTCTTCATGAAGGCAAATATTTTATCAACTTAGTCACCTCCCTACCCCTATTTATACTGCATTTTAACTTATTTTTTAGAATTCCCCTTGATAACCATGTGTTACAAAGTCACCTGAATTTTAAGAAAAATTTAAACACACTGCAAATAGCTTCCTTATCCTGCCTCTGGGTTGAGAAAAGCACAGGTGAAGGTTGTACTGTTGTTTTTGTTATTTTAATAGTTATTTCACTTTGCAGGCTTGCATTCATGGCATCTCTTATTCCTATTCCCTAGATTATTTTATACCATATATTTTATTCCTATTCCCTAGATTATTTTATACCATATATTTAATCTACTCTTATTTACACAAAATAGTTTTCTTTCTTCGCTATTTAAAAACATGTTTGTTTTCCTTCTTTCTTGGGAATAATTTTATTTGGCACCAAAACACGTATGACTTGAAAACAAGAAGAGGAGGATGAGAAGAAGCAGAGAGTACTGTGTGTATTCATTTAGATGTTCACATCACATCATTCAGCAGTTCCCTTCTGAGGTATTCAAGTTTCACATTGGTAACCAAGGTTCTGGAGGGAGGAAGGGAGGGAGGGAGGGAGGGAGGGGGGAGGGGGAGGGGGGGGGGGAGGGGGGAGCGGGGAGCGAGAGCGAGAGCGAGAGCGAGAGAGACTGAGACTGAGACTGAGACTGAGACTGAGACTGAGACTAAAACATGTAGTGGTCTGATACAGGTCTGGAGTTCTGTGCCTTGTATCTGTAGCTCTGCCCCCACTTCCCATATCCATTTTGGCTTGGCTAGCTCCTTCGTTCGGTCAGCTTTCTGCTCAAACACACCTCCTTCAGTCCTTTGAGCACTTTCCACACCTTATCTACAGCAGCTTCCTCTCCCAAGCTTCCAATTCACTTCTCTGTTTCATTTTCACTATAACATCGCCATCTGAAATTATTTTGTTATTTAATAATAAGTTTTTGTTTTGTATTGCTTTTGGTTTGGGGGGACAGAGTTTCAGTGTGTAGTCCAGGCTGGCCCTCAATTTAAAATCTTCCTGCTTCTTTCTACCTCTCCAGTCCTGGGATTATAGGTATGTGTTTCTGTCTCTTTTCCTACCAGAATAAAATTCTAACAGAGAGATCTTCCCTGGCATTTTTACCCTGTATCTTGGCATCAAGGGCAGTGTTCAAGTGCCTAATAAGTATTACTTGAAAACAAGAGGAGGAGGAGGAGGAGGAGGAGGAGGAGGAGGAGGAGGAGGAGGAGGAGGAGAAGTAGCAGCAGCGAGTACAGCTTGTATTAACTTAGTATATCTCCTCTACTACCTTTATCTCCTTTTAGGGGAGGTACTGGGGTTGACAAGCTTGGTGCATACTATGGATAGTGAGGTAGGCTTTGGGAGCCTATGTGGTGTTGAAGAAAAAACAAAAGTCCTAGTCCAATCCTTATAAAATACATGGAAACGGGAGTAGATCCATTCATCTCTCAGCGCTTTAGTTTCATAATCTATAGGAAAAACTGATTCAGTGAATCAGTAGACAATGACACGAAACAGGGATGGCAGTTAGTTAATTCTCGGCTATTCCCTAAGGCTGTAAAAAGAAGAAGCAGTATAGGAATCCTAGGAAAGTGGTCTAATATTTTTCCTATTTCAACAGTTCCCTTAGCAACTGTCCTGATACTTTAGTAGTGGTTCTCAACTTTCCTTATGCGTTGAACCTTTAATACAGTTCCTCACGTTGTGTGGCCCCAACCATAAAGTTATTTTGGTGCTCCTTTGTAACTGTAATTTTGCTACTGTTATGAATAATAATGTAAATATCTGATATGCAGGATATCTGATATGTGATCCCCATAGGGTTTGAGACTCCACAAGTTGAGAACTGCTGTTTTAGGGCAACATTCTCAAGATGCTATGTCATAAAGTTCAGCCCACAGGCCAAGTCTTAAGTCTTGAGTACATTCTCAAAACTCTGAGCATGAGTCTACCCTATAGAACAGGAGAAATTTATTTCTCACTTCTCACTTATTTTAAATGGCTACTGAATCCCACAGAGTTGGGTGTTGATGCTTCCAGAAATATACAAATCCTTAGGTCTTATCAAACCAGTACATTCAAAGCCATAAGGGCTGCTGGAGAGAATACTTGTCACAGCTGTTTGAAAAACTCCAACACCTTAGATTCACTTCATTTTGTCGGTTCATTTGTTCATCAGTAAGCACCAAGTAAGTGTCAACTCTTTATGTAGTCCTAGTGATAAGAGTTACCAAATCCCGGGCAGTTATTAGATGTTAGTCATTATCACCTGCTGTGGGATGTCTTTCTGTGAGTATGTGTTGCTATGAGTGGTTAATAAAGAAGCTGCTCTGGCCTATGGTGAGTCAGGTTATAGCCAGGCAGGAAATCCAAGAGAGACACAGGAAGAGGAAAGGAGAGGTGGAGGAGAGTCAGCTGCTGCTCAAGGAGCAACATGCCAACAGACCAGTAAAGCCATGGAACACATGGCAAAACATAGATTAATAGAAATGGGTTAATTTAAGATCTAAGAGCTAGCTAGCAAGAGGCTTGTCATAGGCCATCCAGTCTGTAAATAATATAAGCCTCTGTGTGTTAACCTGGGGCCAAGCAGCTGTGGGAGGCAGGTAGGACCAGAGAAACTTCCAGCTACAATCGACCAATCTTTTATGTTCTTTATTCTTCCTCTATCCCATAATCACTACGAATGGCTCCAGTCTACAGACAAGAAATCTGAAGCCGGGTTGACATAGACTTTCCTCCTCCTCCTCCTGCTCCTCCTCCTCCTCCTCTTCTTCTTCTTCTTTTTTTTTTTTTGGTAATATATTGAATTTTCTATTGCTTTTTGCATGATTAAAAATTGTAAATACGACAACACTGTCTTTTGTCTATTTAACAAGTATTGAGCTAAGTGGTTTTTCTCTTTCTAATTTTTGAGTCTTGAAGACTGGCCTCAAATTTGCATTTTTTCTGCCTCACCCTTCTCAAGTGCTGTGCTTATAGGCATGCTCCACCACACTCAGCTTAACTAAGCCTTTGTAATGCCAAACTCCACGCTGTTAATGACCACATTTTAGCAAATAGGTTCTGAACATGTACTTGGTACCTATCAGGGTGCTAGATACTCTCTTAAATTCAAAATAGACTAGGACCTTCCTCGGGGTGGGAGATATATCTCACTTATTATGTTCCCTCCCAGTCTCCTGAACATGCCTTGATGTGTTACTTGATGAGAATGACTCCTTTTCTAAAAGACATAGCAGAATAAAATCGACAAGGTTATATGACTAACTTAACATTTAAAAAAGGACCAAAGCACAAAACTCTAAGGGTCAGTGAATGCAGAAGGCAGGAAAAGGGAAATGGGCTTTTCTCCGCCATTACTAAGTGGTCAGAGGAGGTTGGACTAGTCTCAGCATTATAGACTCAAATGCTTTCAGGACATGACAGGTAGGACAAGTCAATGAACTGCGCTGTGAAAGGCTGTGGTACACTGAAAAGCACACTCCTATCTTAACAACAGCTCAGCTCTAGCTGGTCACTATCATGGAGAAATATTCACCTTTGGATTGTAAATGCTGATCCAAAATTTTAAAATTACTCAAAGCAGACAAAATATTCCTTTATGACAGATTTGATTGATGACTTAACAGCCTGCAGTCTTAAAATTCAATTACTATTTCATAATCTCTAAAAAATATTTTAATGTACGTGTGTGCATGTGTGTACACAAGCATACATGGATGTGAGGATGTTAGATATCCTGGAGCTGGAGGTACAGGCTGTCAGCTGACCAATGTTAAGTGCTGGGGACAGAACTATGGTCCTCTGCAAGAGCAACAAGTGCCCTTAACTGCTGAGTCAACTCTTTAGCCTCTATTTCATAATCCTTTCATGGTCAAGGGCCCTCATTTACCCTTAACAGGCTTTACATTTTGAAATTCTTAGGTTTTTTTTTTTTTGTTGTTGGTTAGTTTTTTTGTTTGGAAGGAAA